AAACTGGTTCAATGACCAGGGGATTACTGTGCTTGATTGGCCTCTCCATTCTTCCTCCATACTCTGGGTCCTTGGTTTCCAAATGAGATGCAAAAGTTCCTCTCATCAGAAAAGAGGACTTTGGACCACTGAACAACAGGACTTTGGACCACTGTGCTTCATTAAGACCAGGGTCAACAGAGCCGTCTACCAGGAGATTTTGGAGCACTTCATGCTTCCTTCCGCAGACGAGCTTTATGAGGATGCTGACTTCATTTTCCAGCTGCCTACACTGCCAAAAGCACCAAAACCTGGTTCAATGACCGTGGGATTATTGTGCTTGATTGGCCAGCAGACTTGTCTGACCTGAACCCCATAAAGAATCTATGGGGCATTGCCAAGAGAAAGATGAGAGACATGAGACCGAACAATGCAGAAGAACTGAAGGCCGCTATTGAAGCATCCTGGTCTTCCATAGCACCTCAGCAGTGCCACAGGCTGATAGCTTCCATGCCATGCCGCATTGAGGGAGTAATTGCTGCAAAAGGGGCCAAAACCAAGTACTGAGTACATATGCATGCTTATACATTTCAGAGGTCCGATATTGTTCTATATACAATCCTTGTTTTATTGATTGCATGTAATATTCTAATTTTCTGAGATGGTGGGTTTGGGGTTTTCATGAGCTGTACGCCATAATCATCACAATTATGACAAATGACGGCTTGAACTATCTTCCTTTGCATGTAATGAGTCTTATCTCATATATTAGTTTCACCTTTTAAGTTGCATTACTGAAATAAATGAACTTTTACACGATATTCTAATTTTTTGAGTTTCACCTGTATAGCTTAAACAAACAAAATAAATGTCAAACAATTTAGAGAGCTGATCATTCTCTTAAATATGACCCTGATGTTAGGTATAGTATATTAACAGAATTTAATGATTAAGTTCCTAAAACAAATTATGCAGTGGGTTCGGTTTTTTGGTTCTGTTTCAGTTTGGTTGGGTTTTTTAAACTTTATATGACATAGCTACTTGCAATATGTAAACTAAGATTTACAGTTAAATACATGTATGAACCACCGGGAATTATTTGACAGACCATTGTAAAAGCCATCATTAACTTAGTATGATGTGTTAATACATTCAGTGTATTACTATCTTTTTGTAGTCTTCCCTTCTGAATTTCCAATTGTGCTCTAAAACATCAAACCAGAATCAAGATAATTTCTCATGTTTTCTCATTCTCCAGCTGATACGGAAAACTTACCTTCAAATTCCTGCAGATTGACAAAAGGAAGTATGGAAATGTATTTTTTTTAATATAACCACATCTTTCCAAAATTGTAGATTTTTGTTGCTGTACTTTATTCCTCAGGAGCAATACAGTCTCTTCTGTTGAATACATTTTTTTCTATACTGAGCAACTGATTCATAGAAAAGTTTTATGTGACAAAAATAAAATAATTGACAGCGCAATTACATAATAATTTATTTCCCAGCTGATGTTAGTCCAGAGCACCTCTAGGTATTTTCACATGGAATATGGTGCTTTCATGCTCTTCTGCCTCCTCCGAGTTTCCATGGTGACATGGCTCAAACATTTCTGAGAAAGGTGAAATATAAACCCATCTGTTCCTCAATATTTAGGGCTTTCAGTATTTAAATGACACAATCAACAAGAAAGAGAGCCAGCCAACAGGGCAGGGAGCATACTTCTCCTCAGTCTCAGGACATCTGACTGTTTCTCTTATTCAAGACTGCACTGTGGTCCATCATTCTGCTTTCGTTAGTTGGTGCAGGGCATAACTGATTTCAAGCAGGATCATTTGAGCACCACATTATTTGGATACTGCAAAGCAGCTTATTGCAGATATTTTTACATTAAGCAAAATGGGATATCAACATGATTCAATCAGGCCTTAGAGTTCATTTGGCACACAATCAGGTGTCAAAGCCATATTTCTGAAAATGTATTCTGCTTAAAATGCTGGGGCTGAACAAAATGTATCTGCGGCATCAAGGTTCTTCAAACCCATGATCTGTTTATAGTCAAACTACGCATCCTTATCGTTGATTTATATTGTCTTCTGTAATTTGAGATGGTGGTCGTTTTTACCAAGCTCCAGGTTCTTCAATAACTACTGGAAACCAAAACAGGTTTAATAGCATCTTTTCAGACTAATACATAGTATGAAAAGAGATAAGCTTTTGTGAGCTGCAGCTGCTCCTCAGATGTTTATGCCTTTTAATATGTTAGCATGAAAAGGTAATGATTTGGGGCTATCGTAAACTAACGTGGCTCTCTTCTTTATGTCAACAAATACTAGAACATCTTTCAACTTGGAGGCATTCTTGTTCTTTCTCCTAATCCCTTGCTCATAGAAGCACATTAAAAATGGGTATCTGAAACAATTAGGGGTACAATTACTTGCTAAAGTTATTTACAAGTGACCAGGAAGCACCCTTCAAAATACTTAAAACATTTAATTCTTTATTAAACTTTCGCATATGGGTTTATTAACCCACTCAGACCAAATAAGGTCAAACTTCCACCCAAGGATAGGCTGATGGTAGGTATCATTCCCTGGCACAAGCACTCTGAGGTGCCCTACTTAAATGTGCCCATGCGCTTAAAAGCTTGCATCTGGGTAATGCTTCTTCAAATGCATCCAAAAGAGTACAGCAAAAAATATGTCACCACGCTGGCATCATCTTAAGCTGCTAAATGGCACTAACACTGGGGCTATTCTCTCTATAAAAGGCAATGCTGGTTAAGAGCCAAAGGTCAGTTTCCGAATCAGTTTTCAATGCCAGAATTCAGCTCAGGAAAAATGAAGTGGCAGTGAGCATATGCAAAATATCTTTAACTAATTGCTAGAGCCAGTACAACAACCTGGGTCTGGATTCAAACTTGAACTCTAAAGCATCTCAGCTTTATAAATCGACAGGACTGGGGAAGGTTGTTCCTGGGTTGCATCTTATTTTGCAGTTAGTAATAACCAATTATTTCAGTTTTGATATTTTTATTAAAGAATTTGCTACATCTAGTACTGAACAACAAAACTTTGATTAGCCATTTAGAGTTTTCATCCAAGCAAGAATAATAATTCCAGCCTTCCTTTTGGCAGGAGTATTTTTTAAAAACTTGGTGACAGCAGAAACCTTTGTTAAATTCTATATTGGATTTAACATACACTGTAAATGATAAACATAATCATTAGTATCAAGGCTGTCAAGTTGTTAATATTTTCATAGCGTGGCTTCTAATGACTACAGTATATCCTTTGTGAAAGTTTACCGCTCCTGAAATATTAAAATTAAATTTGCTATGATTTCCGTTGCATTCTTTCAGCCAACAGCATGTGCAGTCTGGTATCAGTTAGCTCCCTCCCATAATTGGGGCTTACCAGGGGTTGTGACACTAATATATATATATATATAATTGGAAGTACTGATTCCTATGATCCATTTTCCTGTGTATGTATGTATGTATGTATGTATGTATGTATGTATGTATGTAATGTATGTGTATATATGTTATACATATACATACACACACACACACACACACATATACATATCAATCAAAACAGGAAATGGATCATAGGAATCAGTACTTCCAATTATTAAAGAACACAATAATTAGATTCTAATTATGTCGTTTTCTCCAGCCAACTTCACCCCATTCCCACCCCTTCCTGACTTTACTTTTATTATGTCTATTATCTGCAGATTCGTCTGAAAACCTGTAGCCATTCCCGAGGTGAGGCAAGGTCTTTGACCGTTTCTGAGTCCTGTACAATCCTGACTCCCCTTCTTTGGCTTGGATGGAGAAAAGTAGTCTGCGCGTGATTCTGAATAGAACTCCGGCGCTGTCTCACGAGCACATGCTCTTTGCACGCTCCATCAGCGCATGCAGAGCCCTGCTTGGCGCTAAACGACGAAGGGATAATGCCCTGCGCTATTTACGGGAAAAGATTAATTTGGCCAGTTAATCTCATCCCGCTGCCTGGCCACCGCGGGAAAACCACACGGATCATATAGTGTGGTAATCAAGGAGATAACGGCCCCCGGAGGTTTTGGGAGGGAGGGAGAGGGAGTGGCGCATGCGTATTGCCGGCGGGGTGGGGGGGAGGACTCAGGTGCTCGGTTGGGAAAGTTGCCCGGGAATTGAACGGCGGACGAAGGTTGCGCCGGGGGCAATTTGCACTCAGGAAAGCGCCGCGCAGGAATTTGCTCCGCTGCCTTCCCGGGAAAGCCGATCAGAGGCAGGCGCGGCGTGGGCGGACGGTGCACTTAAGCGTCCGACTCCAGGCAGGGGAGATGCCGTTGCCGCCGCTTCCTGCGACGACGATCGTGGATTCCGCCTCTTTGGCTGCCTCCGGCAACGGAGGAGGGAAGAACGGGAAAGGGGTCTGAAACTTTCCAGTGGGATGCTGAGCGGTGCCGGGCTGCCCCCGCCCCCGCCTTAACCTCCAGCTTCGCTCTCCTCAGTCGCCCAGGCGCGCCTGGAGCTTGTTCCGCTGCCGGAGCTCGGCGCCCTCGGATGCCGCCTTTCCAGCTACTTCTCTGCCGCCGGCGGGGATCGTTGGCTCGGCTTTGCCCTCCGCCTGCAGCGGCGCGGCCATTCACTCGTGCTGCCCGGTGGCGGCGAGGCTGAGGGGGCTCGGCCCGGGCGGAGAAAGTCGCCCCCGCCGCCGAGGAGGCTTTGGCCGCGGCAGCCGGTCCCCTCTCGCGGGATTCCCTCCCTTTCTCGGAGGTGCGCGTCGTCCTTGGTCGTGGTTATGAAACCCTCCGCGGGGATCCCCTCCGAGTGAGCCCCTCCGGCCAAGTCGCGAGGACCTGCCTCGCCTCCTACTCGCCTTCCCGCAGCCCCCCCACCCCGCCCCGAGGACGTCCTCAGCCGCCCCGGCTCGCCATGGGGCTGGAGGTCCCGCCGCCGAGCGTCCCTTCGAAGCCTCCGCTCGCCAAACTGAGGAAAGTTCGCAAGAGGCGGGAGATGCTGCTGCAACAGCTGGGCTTCATCTGCGGGATCCTCTTTTTCGTTTGGTGCATGGCTAAGCTAGGTAGGTGGGCGGGTGGCCCTCTGTGTGTGTATGTGTATGTTGTGTGTGTGCGTTTGCGTCCAGTGACCTCTAGGATATGCTGGTGGAGTGCACATATATTCCTATGGCTATGGAAGAGGGAAGCTGGAAGAAACAGCTAATGTGGTATAAATAGGGCACCTCTGCCTCTTGTATGTCATTCTTGCCAATCTGTTCAGGTGACAGTGATTTTTGCCATTTGATTCAGCAGGGAATGGTTCTTGGTGACTGAATTTCAGTGCTGCATCGAATGGCCTGCTTCCCTGTTCCTTGTTCGGTGAGGTACTCTCTGGGAAACATACAACCAAGAGGTTTCACCTGTTGTGGCCCGTGAAAGTTCAGTGCAGCTGTCATAATAGTGACCATGCCCAATAGGTTTGTGTAATCCATTTGAATAATGTGCAAGTGACCCACAGCAGTTTCGTAAATGA